AAACGTTGGTAAACATCTACCAGACTACACAGCGCAACAACCCAGAAGACAGAAATCTTCATCGCCCTGATGACGGAGGCAGTATGACCTCTGAAACGTTGGTAAACATCTACCAGACTACACAGCGCAACAACCCAGAAGACAGAAATCTTCATACTCATCGCCCTGATGACGGAGGCAGTATGACCTCTGAAACGTTGGTAAACATCTACCAGACTACACGGCGCAACAACCCAGAAGACAGCAATCTTTGGAAATTTTAGCACAGATTTTTACACAAAGAATCGGTGTTGATGATCATGGCGAGACAAAACTTTGTGACTACCTTAACTTCATTAGTAACTTTCTTAGCTTTCTTGTTAAGGATTCTAACGCTCTCAGACATCTAACTAAAACTGTGGAAACAAATTGCGCAAGGTCTGAAGCTGACTTAAAACAAAGAAAGGGTTGTATGCGTTGCCAACCAGAGTCTGCTTCCATCTGAAGTGACACCCAAACAAATAAAAGAAATTTCTTCTCTTCCCACGTATCTTTAAAGCCTCATTCCTTTCAACACTTCCATTAGTTTCTGCTTCTTTCTTTGATAGTGACACACAGTTCACGTTAATCTTGGAAACAGAGGGGCGTGACCTATTGGAATCAGGAACTCGAATTTGTCCTCAACATTTTAAAACATAAGTGTATTATGGGCACTCAATAGCTTTCTCTACGCTGGCATTTTCAACGGAAGATCCTTTTCGCGTTGTCGTGTAAACTTCAATACTAACTTGACTGACACAAGCAAATTGTTAGCTAAAACATTAATCGATGGCAATACGGAAAATAAACGCAGAAGAAGGGATTGTTCAACAGCTTCATCACAACTCGAACATCGAAATGGTTAAACAAGATGGCGGAGAAGTAACTCTGCTGCATGTAAAGCCGTAGGAATGTACTGTTAATCTGAGATTTTTTTTCCTACAATTTGATTATAAGAAAATACATAAATTGTTAATGTCGTGTAATGAAACTTCATACACAAGTGGTTTTTTTTTATTTAATGCAGTAGTGATAAAATATACTAATACATATAACTGGAAAGCCTTTCGAAATTTAGCTGCCAAATTTGTAACAAAGCAATATTATATGCTCGTACACCTCTGATAAAAGTAGACATTTTACGGGCATGAACATAATTAAATTCACTGCCTAGTATAAAGAGAGTTAGGTCGTTTAAGGCATCTTCGATTTCGTCGTTTTACAGGAAAAAATCTATACTGAAACGACATAATTCGTGCCTGTAAACTTATTAAACAAGCTTAACCACATACAAGAGTTAAATATTTTATGTTGGTGATATGTCGTTACAAAATTCTATATAACTAATGTACTTTGTATCGTCCGTTTTCTGTTACGCGTATTATAAACATGATATGCCTAATTGAAATATTGTAAATATTAAAATGTTTCAAATAAGGCTCATAAACCTTAATGACACTGTCAGACCTGTATTTTGTGTTACGTAATAGTAATGTTTGCGTTGTCAGCCGTCTTTTGATAAAAATTCTATCATGTAAAGAGTCAAATCTCCTTGGTAACGTAAAGTGTGGACCTGTAAAACGAATTAAGTCTGACAGTTTCTGATATCAAACATACGAATATAAAGACGTAAACCCTTGTTATAAATTAATTCTATAGACCGTATGCAAAAGACACATATTAATGGCAGGCCTACGAAGTTATAATACTTGACACAGGACTGCTGAAAGTATCTGTGATTTAGTGTCGACTACTTCAGTCCAATTTCACAACGAATCTTTGAGCCATTTTATCCTTCCGGCTACAAAAGCCGTTTTTTATTCTCTCTGGTAGTAATTCTGTAGCACAAAATCTCACGGAGACTTTAAGAGATTGATGTACAAATTCTACCCTCACATTTTATCTCCACTTCTATTTATCTACCCTTGTCTCTGTCACCAATCTTCAAAACGACGACGGGCTCTTCAGAATATAAAACACTGTCATTTGTTTCTGCTGTGTCTAGGTGAATCCGTTTCCAAGGAGATATGCTGATAAACAGACGACATTCTACTATCGTTCTCTCATGTCTGTCAATACTACAGAAAACACCTTTTAACCACTGGTGGTGTTTTAATCCGAAATAACTAAGATTTCATTTTGAAAATACACCTATATAGAGAGGATAAACACTTCTGCAAGTGATTTTTATTAACTAACAGTTCATATTTCTTGATTGTTTGTTGCTTTATTTTAAACGAACTAGCAATGTCATGTCACGTGTGACACGTGGTGGATATGAGAAATTAATACAATATTTTGGTCTTAGAGTTTAAATAAGAAACGTTACTACTTGGAAAATGAATCGCAGATAAAATTAGAGTGGATCTTAAAGTAACAGGATGTGCCCTGGTCTCCATTGGATTTATTTAGCTCCGGATAGGGACTACTAAGCGGGTTGTCTAGAAGGAAGGGAATTTCTTGATCATCTGAACGAGTGTTAGCTTCTCAACAAGGACTCAGCTCTATGAAGTCATTCGAAAAAGTCGAAAAACACAAAACGTTCTTCTCATCCGCACGTAAAAGCGACCGAAATTCAAGAATTATGTTAAGATAACTCGGAATTCATTTGTTTGTTTGTTTACCCATTTGCCTACAATACAGAGAAGAATTAAGAGGATGCGACACAAGACCTGTGAACTCTTACGAAAAAATAAAAAGTAAAGAAACTGTTACAAATTGTCCATCCGTTTTGACTCTGATAAAATCTTCTTGGTCAACAAGCTGTGTCGGCTGCGGCCAAGAGACGTTTTGATTTTATTTTTCTTAGATTTTAAAAACAACTTCATTTAAGGGCATGAATTAACATTTACACTTGTCCTTATTGTGATGAAATTGAAATAATTTACGGAACTTAGTACGAAAATATTCTTTCTTCATTCTTTTTAGCCGATCCTTTTGTACCACTTAATCTATTAGACAGTTGTTAGGACTCCTTGGACTAGTGATCAGCCCCTCGCAAGGCCTCTACCTGTACACAGGACAGCACGGCACAGGAAGACTCAGGAAAACATCAATGGCTTGAGTGGGATTCGAACCCACGCGACCACTTTAACCGGCAGTATGAAAATATTAAAACAAGTGAATTTTTATTTTGAGACTCACGTTATCTACGGATTTTAAAATACATTCGTGTTTATGACGCGAAATATGCGCCATAGAAACCGTCTTAAATAAAGGTGCAGTGACTGGTAACACGCTCATATTCTTAAAAACTTATACGATACATCCATTAAAACCATCGGTTTAGATAAAATCATGATTCTAATAACAACTGATATCACACGACATCAAAAGCGTTGTCGAACTTCGAGGGATCAGATGTACAATTTTTTGAACATACCCGGACAACACAGAGGCGCCATGAATTAACGAGACGCCTTTGAATTTATTTTATTAATTTACAGTTTATTTAATGACGCTATCAGTAACTAATATTTTGCGTCGAATTATATGATTATTAATGAATGATGTGTTGCAAATTATGTGGATAAAGAGGTCAGGCATTTGTCTGAAGGGACTGAGGAAAGCCATGAAAGTCCTCAGTCAAGATAGCCGGTCCTGCGGTTAAGATTTAAAATCGAGGCCTCCCAAATACGATGGAGTATCGCTGACCACTCGACCTCGACGTTTCAACTCCTTGAACTCATATTACATAACTCTTCGACATTTCAATCAATCTTATTAATTCAATAGAACAGACGCTTACTAACAGACATTCACAAAACTTATTTTGATGAGTTTTTCCCTCTGAACAGTTAAGGGTCGGTTATACTTGAAAGACTTTTGTAAAGTTAACACATGTGAAAATAATATAAGAACTTTTGAGGAAAATAACTTGAAACGCAGATAAAGTAAGTAGGGATTCCCAACAGAATTTCAAGGCAGACAGGCAGTAATTCACTTTGTACGCGAACAGTTTCTTTATGGCTTGTTTATGGAAGAGAGTAACGCTGCACGAAGATAGTGAAATGAGTGTGTTTTAGAATCTATTTATCAAAACCATGATAACGCACAAACATGCTCCTTGTGTCTGAAATCGGAAGTTGCAATGGTGTGGTTTCAGATGGGTCGTAATCAAAACATGGGGGTGGGGAGGCTTTGTGGTCAATTTATTGCTTATGTAGTAAGACCTATACAGATCCTTGCTATTACACGCTGATCTAGCAACTAGTGAAATAAGAGGATTTTCCGTAGGAACTTGAAAGTTTTTGTTTATGGTGCGCTGTAATTAGTAAAATTATCCTCGTATGATTTGAAGTTCTCACAGCGGTGAGTATGAAGATTTCTGTCTTCTGGGTTGTTGCGATGTGTAGTCTGGTCGATGTTAACCAACGTTTCAGAGGCCATACTGCCTCCGTCATCAGGGCGATGTGTATGAAGATTTCTGTCTTCTGGGTTGTTGCGATGTGTAGTCTGGTCGATGTTAACCAACGTTTCAGAGGTCATACTGCCTCCGTCATCAGAGCGAATCTTCAAAATTATCCTCATTGACTTGTCTATCGTCTTCGTGACGTAGGCATGTAGTAGGTGTAATGTGGACGTAACATGGGCGTAATATTGGTGTGATAAAATAGTAGCGTATGCCTAACGTGGGACGTAGCTTGACGTAAGAGGAACATAAACATGACTTTGGCGTAACATGGCTGTGACTGTCCGGCACGTGGGCAAAATGGAGGTGTCACAAAAGCGTGACGTAAGAGTGTGGTAGGCACCAAGTATGCGTGACGAAGGTACGATTTATTGGTTACGTAAGTGGGACTTAGAAGTGAACCCAGACGAATATTATCAATGTCAGGAGTAAAAGTTTATTAAGTGCTCTTGTTGTTATAACAGAATTATTTCATTTCATTATATTCAGTATTTTTTTTTGGACAAGTGATATCCTTGTGACACTTGTTTAACAAAATATCAAAATTAAACAAGTTCTCGCTCTCTTACAGAAACTGCAGAGGAGGGTAGGGCTGAGGAGGCAGAAACTGGAGGAATAGAAAACCCAAACCTACATGAATAGAAAATGTGAGTGTGTGCCTGTGTTTATAACTAACAAGCGTTTAGCTCTCTACGCAGATTTTAAGTGGCTCAGTAAATCTCTCAGAGGAAAAATATTTAGAATCGTATTTGCCTATATGACATGCATTGACAGCTCTTGAAAGATGTTTTATATTAAAGATTTCTGTGTTTTGTGTATTGCACCGTGAAGTGTAGTAGAAATTTACTGAACTGGTGATGGAGAAAGTAAGGACCTCTAAATCTTCGATCAATTTTTACAAGACTTCACAGTGTAACTTAGCCAGTCATGCTCGCTACCATAATAACGTAAAATATCACCATGTTTTATATTAATTATATCCTCAGAAAACTTTTATCAAAAGAAAAAGCACAGAAAGATGTCTTCATTAACGAAAGTCTGATTCATACTGTTGATAATATTAAACGTAAGCTAATAAACATAACAATATCATTGTACGCAGAATTGATTAGCACTCATTTTAAAGGATTTTTTTTTTTTTGTAAATAACTTTCTGAGAGTTTTGGTTTTAACGAATTACAGTTCACGACGATCTTATCTAAATATTGATTTTAACAACACCCCCTCCAGCAACCCGCCTACGCAAGGAGAGTACACCATACATTTTCTGAGCATGTTTCAAAACCAAACTTCTTAGAACACGAGAACTACCAGTAAGATGCAAACCTATTGCAAGAGTCTTTAGTTAAAGAGTCCACAACTTCCTCCAAATCTTCATAATTTACACTTTCTCTAATCATTTTCTAAGAGAAGGTGAATTCGTCCATTAAGTAGCAATTTAATTAGACATGATCCCATGTTATTTATCGACGCTGTTTCAATTGGAGACTGTTTAATGTCGAATTAGATCAGAGTATGATTACACTGAAAGGTTGAAGGAGGAATACATGGCCTGAAGGGACAGGAAACAACCAAGAACTTCCTCAGTCACAATAGCCCGAAATCCAACCCTTTGCATCCTGAGTTTTATCCGACTAACATTATTTAGAGTGAGAGAGATAAGAAATTCATAAAAAATTTGTTGCAAAACCTGAAGAGTTAGAGACTACTTCGTATATTTACGAGAGTATGGTACATTCATACTAAAATGCTTATTAAAAGTAAGGTGCGAGGATGTGGACTGGATTAATCTGGCTCACCGCTGAACCAGTAACAGGCTCTTTTGAACATGGTAATGAAACTTTGGCATCCATAAAATACATAGAATCTGTTGATTGGCTGAGCAGCTGCTATATTCTTAAGAAATGGAGGTTAGTTATTGATAGAGTATTGTCATGGTAACAATTTATATTACTGAAACTCCATAATCCTTTGGAAAACCTGTTGAGAGACGACGGGGATGTGTTGTAATTGGACGGATTTTGCAGGTCCATATCCCTTCTCTTATTCATTCCCTCTTATTTCTGAATAAATTCATTGGATTTTTAATCTTTTTTCCAATTTAAAACCTCAGTAATTCCTTTTTTCTCAACGCTGTGAAGGACACAGAATAACTCTCTTTTTATAGGCAACGCGTTCTATTATTTAGCTTGGCGTTCTTCATGTTTATTTACGCCGCTTGGTTTGTGATCCAAGCAACTCCGGACAGTAACTGGCTTCCACCGTGGGATCCATTTAATTATTCATTATAGGTACTTCGTAATGGCATTGCTCAGGGTCGATGGTCCAGAATGTCGGCAGAAGTGACTTACATTTTATAGTTCCTGTATCCCTTGGGAGATATGTCGAGCAGAACAGAAACCTAGGTTGTAATTCCAAATAAAACAGCGACAATGATATATAAAACGTGAAAGTTTCTCTACCGCTGTGCCACTGGGTTTCCAGAACTGATGGATGGAATCGTGCTTCTTGTTTCTAGACATCCAGGCGTCATCTTTCATGCTGTGCTTTTCTTTTCCTCAAACTACAGTAAATTGGAAACGTGTCCAGTTTAAAATATTTCTCTTCACACTTTCTGTAGCATATACGAATCTGACAGTAGCTCACATTAACTACCTAAATATCCATGTAATCAAGCGAATATCACACTAAGAAGACAGCCATATTCATTCTCATCACCGTGAGAACCTGACATCCAATCCACAGGCTAACGAGCGACATAAAATTCAAAATAACTTACACAATCAACATTAAGAAATTCCTCATTGAATAATCTTCTCTAGATTTCTCTTAGTTCCACTTCCTTATATCAACATACTACCGTCTGCACTTCGTGCATTTAGATTAACAGCTCTGACACCGAAAAAATACCTGAAATCATTATTAAAAATCGTTTCCCAAATTTAATCTGTTCTTAATTTCATCAAGAATAACATAGAAGCACATAGTAGGCCTACCTTAAGGTTTTAGACATTTAAAATCCAAACATCTATTTTCTTTAGAGGCGTTTGTTGTGCTTTAAGTAGCATATACTACCACGTATATTTTGTTAATGTACTCGTAATGCTTAAAAGTGTCCGATTAATTTAAACAATATTAATATCTGAAAAAAATATAAAATCAACAATTGAAATGGAAAGCAAACGGTAAGTCCCAAGGTTGGAAGTTAGTGGGGACACAACGCAAAATTGTTTTTCGAGAAACAGATTTATTCAGTGGGCTTTGTGCACCAATAAACATAACGAAGTCTGTAAAAGTTAAATACGCTAAAGGGGTATAGTAACAATTTATTACAAATGAAACTATACAAGTAGAAAGCCATAATTTCTCATCTCCGTTAAATTACAGTACCTCCAGCTACAAGCAGCGCACCAATAATAAACAGTCGTTAAAAAATGGCAATCGGTTGACAGGTCTGGGAACCGTACAATAACATTCAAAGAGGAAGCAGCCACGTGTTGCTAGTACAGTCTGCCCGCTAGCACAAAAAGTGAGTTAGTAATGGCAAATTGGCTTTAGTGCGAACGTGGCTTTATTGTCTGAATCAGCCTTATGGTTGCATTTATTGTCATCTCTCAGGGCTTGTCCTTTGTCGAATTATTAAAAGACATACTTTGGTTTTGTCATTTGACGAAACACGAACATAAACTTAGTTTATTCTGCCTTTATTTCCACATCATATCTATATTTCTTTTAACGAGTTTCAGTGTTAATGAAATATTTTTTACGAAAATTTTGCGTGAAATAAACTGGTATTTTAGATAATAGTTTATTTCCACATCATATCCATATTTCCTTTAACGAGTTTCAGGGGTAATGAAATATTTTTCACGAAAATTTTGGGTGAAATAAACTGGTATTTTAGATAATAAAATATATTTACATTACACTTTCTGTATCTATAAACTTGTCGTCCGAAGAGGACCAAGTGAAATAATGAAAAAAGAACAGAACAAAAAAGAAAGTAAGAATAAATAAGGCAATGGCAGACAGGAATAAAAATAAGAAAAATCTTAAAGACAAAAAAAAATGAAATAAGAAAAAATACATTTAAAGAGTAGCTATATTTTAGCTACGAATTTTAGGCACAGGTTAACTTAATATTTTACATTTTAACTGAAGACATTCTGAAACCTCTAGACAGCAGAAGAGAATACAATGCGGCCTCTAACATTCAGGGACTATAAGCGACATCTGCAAGCAACTTGTCAGGCTCTCTCAGACCCTTGGTCTTGTGTGCTGAATGCATTGTCCCTGCCCGCGATACACCCGAGTCTTTCTGTATCTCGTCAGAACAAGTGGCTCCTAAACTGTTGGCAGCCTTGCCTGTCACATTGTATCCATCAAGCATTCTACTCTGTCAGCCACTCATGCACGGTGCTTCACTTGATTGCTACATTTAAACTCATAAATTCAAAAGCAGGGAAGCCCAACACAGGGACTTCTTCATTCTGAGAAAAATTTAAATGCATTCATGTAATCTTAATCTTGAAATGTATAAAGGTGACTTTAAGGAAGAACTGCCTCAGCTTCTTCATTGTTACTATTATTGCAGTTTTATTTATTTATTTATAGTTTATCTGAAAATATCTTCATCAGTTGCACACATTATATAGCGTTGTGTGCCACTCCAGGTCCGTGGTTCAATTCCCGAACGGACTGAAACTTGAGATGAGGGGTAAACCAGGCTTTGGCATACTAATCTGGTTTATATGAACGAAGGAGGTGTGATTAGATGATACTTGGTACACCTCACTTCATCAAAATTTAAGTGATTTTATTAAGTTTTGGCTTTGTCCAATGTATCACATTGGGAAAGAGAGTGGCGCCATCCTGGCGTGTGAAAGTCTCTTCCCCCGACATTCGGTTTAGTGACCGTTGGTTTGGGGCGCCCTAGTAGGTGTGAAGTGACGATTGCCAGATGAGCGCTGCTCCACTACGACTCGGACCAATGAAATTTGAATGTGGCTGTTCGGCACGTTTCCGACGTCATAAGTGACTTTTTGGGGGACGAATCGGATTGTCATATTCAATTCAAAATTCAAGAACGGTTACGTTGCGGGAATATAAAAAGCGAGATTGCGTTGGGGCTCGCTCTCTAAAAGTTCGGTTCTTCAAGGCAAGCAGACAGTTTCTCCTCGATTCATCAAATTTCAAGTACAAAATACAACAGCCGAATCATCGCGCTGCCCAAAAATCAGCATAACTTATTGAAAGGAATTAAAAGGTGGAATATTTCCAAGGTGACTTCGGTGTGGTCTGCAGTTGATCATCCCCACAGATTTCACGTCCTTGGCGCACGGCCGCTCCAACTATCACAGTCCCCGTATAATCCCTGAGAGTCGGACAATCTTGCTCGCCGACAAACCCTATACCAATTATTATTCCTTATATCCTTCCGCATTATCCGAAGTTATATCAAGCTGTAACCGCAAGCAAACCGGGCACGCTACTGGGTTTGATCCCGTGGCAACCAGAGTGAGAAGAAAGCAGTCTGCGGAAGGGCGGTTGCAGTTGAATGAGAGGATGGCAGTATATAATGAATTGGAAAGGATGTGGAAGTAATTAAATCAGAGATAATAAGATTACTGAGATAGGTAGCAAGCAT